TTACCATAGACATAGCTCACTATGGACTACAAGATGCGCAAAACCCCGACTGAAAAGCACTCTGGCACTTGGGAAGGTTCCCTAGTCAGTTAAGATTATCAGCAAAAAATTTTGAAAACTAGGCATATTATGGTGTAAATTCAGTAATTGAAGTTGCCATTTTTCGAAAAATTAATCAATTGAATGAGGTCTTATATTAAGTCTCGCACATATTTTCTCCAAGGGGGTCTTCTATTATGTGGAAGTCTTCTAATATATGTGTCTTCTATTGGGAGAGAAGGGTATGCTATTTTGAGAAAAAGAAAATAGCCGTTCCAATAGAGACTGATGTGACTACCGTGACTCACGGTCACGATAATTGCCATTGTGACCGTGATCATAACCATGACCAAACTGATCGTGACCGTGACCAAAAAATATTGGTCACGGCGATTTCTAGTTTTGACAGATTATCGACATCGTTACATCACTGACCGAGACCGACCAAGACCGAGAGGCTCAGTCTCGGTACATCTCTAGTACTTTTATATTCTCTGTAATAGCTTGTAAGTGATCGAAAATAGAACGGCTATGTTGCGGATAGACTTTAAACACATAGATTAAAAAATTATCGTTAACCTAATTAATAGAGCTCAAAGAAATTCGATACAATAGATTTTATATTGTTTACAAAAGTAAAAGATTATATTTTTGGTAATACGTTAATTTATTAATTGAAATTTTTATTAGGAAAACTCTTTTGAATCAAAATATAGTATTTGTTCAATTCCGAATTTAGATGATAAAAAAGAAAAGGAAGCATTTGCTAGTTTTTGTTCATATATAATAAATGAAACACTATGTAATTTTTGATATAATTCGACTAAACAAAAAAAAGAAATTCCAGAAATTGAATTTTATATATTTCATTTTTAATATGTCATTATTCGTAATATAATTGGAATTATATTACATTAAAATTGAAATAATGAAAATATTTTTAAATTTGCTTTTTATTTCATTCAAATAAAAATATACAAGCATATTTCTTTGATACGCAGTATGAAACGCCCTCTTTCTTATTTTAGAGGTCATACGTAATTTTTAATGCAATAATGATTGATTTTTTGTGTATGTAGACCAAAATGTGTATAGCTTATCTCAACGACTAATTTATCTATTCATTCATTCCTGTTAGTGATATCGTTGACCAATAGTATCGAAGTTTTCTTTATTTCTTTGTTTGATTATTACTATAAAAGAAGGAGCAACACTAAGAATTATTTTATAATTCGTTTTCTTCCTTATTTAATCGATATATATATATATCATTCTATTTATTCCCAAGCATACAAGTTTATAAAATACTTCTAGTTGACTATTCAATAAGAAATTTTATGATAGTTTTCTTTTAATTTGGTCGATTCATTGAAAAAATTCATTTTTTGTGTGGTGATCGTCTCAATAACAAGTGAATCAAGTAAGTCAGAAAATTTGACTTTGAAATAAATATTATTTTGATGATAAAAATCAATGTTCATTCATGTATGTTTTTCTATTCTTTCTCAGTAAATTCCTATTCTTATTTATATATCATTTCAAAAACAATAATGTCCATCAACTTATATTTAATTCAAATTAATAAAGGAAAAGAAAATAATATTTATAGCAAATTTTATGAATCTATTAAATCTTTATCGAAAAGGTACTGAATCGTTACGAAAAAATAGTAAATATAAGAATAATTCATGAAATGGATAGAAATATTAAAAACTTGTTCAGTCGCTCCTTTATTAAGTTATATTTTGGTAAAAATAATTTGATTTTTGAATGAGTATTGTCATTGAAATGATATATAAGCTGTGTAAATATGAAAAAGTATTAACTAAAAATATTTAGTATAGCAAGAAAGAAACTTATATTAGACACTTAATTCATTATGATAGATATCTAGGTGAATAGTTTTTCCAGAACAATATATTGTGTCATGTGCACTTTGCCTTTTCTATTTCAATATTTAATTTAAAAAAAAAAAGCTTTTTTTTATGGAATTCGCGTATATTTTCGAAGAAAATAGTTAGTGTAAGTATAAATCGAAGCTTCTGCGATTCTCCTCCTCCCAGCTCCTAGCAATCGGATGGTGGAAAATCAATTATTAAAATATACGCTTCCATAACAACCAGCTGCTTCCCCCATTACAGACCATAGGAACTTTCCCTTTCTCCATTATAGACCATTACAAACAAATTAATTAATTAATTAGCTAATTAATAAAATGATGAAAAAATAATTAATAGTTAATATATAAAATATTTAATAATATGTAATATTTTGTTATTAAGTCATTATTGAGCCATGACATATTGTCATAAGCACATTGGGATCCCGTCATAGAGACATTTTAGAAGTCCATCACAATTTGTGACAGACGGCATCCCCACACTATTATAGATACGATATCAGTAAGATCTACTAAGAACCTATGAGCTACTTCATTATTTTAGCTCTAGAGAATTCTACAAAGGATGGTTAAGAAATCTGTCCATAAATGCATCGAATGAAATCATTTCTATGTGGTTAGTGACAGTGGTTAGATCGCATGTCTCGTTTTAATCTTCTAGAGATTGCACTACGATTTTTTTAAATCTTTTTATAAAGAAGAAAGATTTTATTTTAGGTCTTAATGAATAAAGCGGTGATATTTTTGTTATCTAGAAGAATAACAATAAAACAGAATTTAAAAAATATAAACTAATTGAATTCTAATTGTAGCTAAAACTCGACAGTATATGCAAAAATTAGTCGAGAGAAAGGATAGTATATATAGTAGCTTGCCGAGCAATAAAATAAATATGTATAGTAGGCAACTATAATAATTGAACCGACAAAACGAACAATAAAATTATATTTGTTTTTTCCTGTAACATGTATCGTATAGTTATTATCATTAAAAAAATAGTAGTTATGTACTGTAGATATATATATATATGACAATACAAATAACTTTTTTCAATATTGCCATGTTAAATGAATCAAATAATCTGACAGAGAAGTAATTATGAATATGAACAGTTACAAGAAAATAAAATTTCAGAGTGCGTGCATATCAACTATAAAAATTGTTATCATTCTAATTTATTTATTTGATGGTTTTTTTTTATAACTTATTTTAAAACCTTTGACAAAATATCATAAATTTATAACAGTCAGAGTTTGTGAGTTCCACATTTCAGCTCCTCTTGTGACCGTACTGACAAGTTTTTCATATAATTGATAAGTAAGAACTGTGATTAGGACTAGTGAAGAATAGATATAACTGACATACCGTAATATTATAAGCAATAATAAAATACAGTATTTATTAATAAATAATAGAAACCAGATAACATCGATTCTTAGAAAGTCAGTAGTTAAAGAGCATAAAAAAGTAATATAGTTTTATTGATTTCCATAAAATTGATTCGTTGTCACGTAAATAATCGAGTAGTAGTTTTCTAGTGAAATATTTTTAAAGTTTCACTCTATTTTTCAAATAGGTAAAAAAAAGAAAAAAAAACTCCTTTAGTGAAGAAGTAAAATCTAACACTTTAAATTTTGAATGGATGAGATTCTCAACATTGGAATTATCTTCATCTTATAGATGATTTATCTTATTATTTGGAAGATAAAATAAAACGTTAACAAGATTTCATTACAAACCTATTAATCAATTATTTACATTCACATGACGATGAATCTATTTTATTGAAATAAATGAAACTAGGTTATTGTTTTTTTATGCTCTTTAACTTCTGACTTTCTACTAACCGATATTACTTGGTTTCTGTTATTTATTAATAAATATTGCATTTTACTATTGATTGTAATATTACGGTATATGAGTTTATATCTATTCTTCATCAGTTTAAATACGTTATCTCTATCAACGCAGTAAACTATCTATAGATATAATGCATTAAAGCATTCTCTATTGAAACTCATTCTATATAGTCAAAAATGTCTAAAAATACAAGTTATAACGAGATTGAACTATAAGAAAAAGGCTCCACTAAAATAAGTTTTTTCTGACATTTTTGACTGTATACAATGCGTTGGATAAAAGAAAAGAACGAACTGTTTTAATGCGTTAATTTCAATATTTCTAATTGCATAGGTAATGAGAGAACTTTCGCATATATCTGCTTCCGATTTCAATATTTTCTTCCATATAGATACTACATAGTGTTCTAATAAAAACTCTATAAGGATTTTCATTCCTACTAAGATTTAACTATGCTATCGAACTTTGAATATGTTTATTTTCTGGTAACTCATGTACGATGTCAGGTTGTCGGAAAAATTGTATTTTTGAATTTTGATTTGAAACTTTGCGTTTATAGAAACATCGACCAAACTAGCTTCCATGAGAAAATTCAAAAGAATTGAAAAAAGTCTCTTCAAAATATAGAATAATTTGAGATATAAGTTCGTGTTCATATATTATATATGCAATATGCATTTTTTTTTGTTGTTGAAAGCTTCATATCTTGAAGAAAATTTATTCCAAATGTCTGAAGTTTTTTGTATGAAAGCTAATCTGATCGACATTTCTATAGATGTAAAGTTTCATGTGAAAATTTGAAAATAGAATTTTTGAGAAAACTTCAGGTTCTCTACAATGGCTTCTACAAAAATAGACATCTTGAAAATTCGAAAGCTTTTTCAAATCATAATGAAAAAACAAATCGTTTTAAAATTTCTATTCGAACACTATGTAGTATGTCTATAGACAATAAATCATTGACATCGAAAGGAATATTTAAAAAGATCCATTCATAAGGTTTTGAACTTTTTATAATGAATTAATTATGAAATTCGAAATTTCACATTTATTTATATTACTTTGTTTTACTATTTAGCTGAAATTATCGAATTTTTTTATTTTAGATTAAAATTAAGACTTAATACGTGAAAGCAAAAGGAAAAAGTAGAAAAAAAAAATTCTATTTTATCTTCAAGATTTTTGTTTTTTAAACATCTTCATGGCCATGGAAAATTTTTTCAATGGACAGGTAAATTTTATATTTTGATTTTAATTATTTGTAAAAACAAATACGTATTTATTCTAGAAACAATATGATAATGATGATAATGATGATGTACTCAATCGATCAAATAGTTCTACTTTTAGTAAAAATGATAAAAACCAAAACAAAAATAAGGAGTTACATAATAGAATTGAACATTTACATTATGAAAATGAAATAATAAATGATTTCGTTAAAGATTTACATGATGAAAATAAAAATTTAGTTTCTGGCATTAAAGATTTACAATGTGGAAATAAAAATTTATTTTCTTTCATTAAAGATTTAAATGATGAAAAGAAAAGTTAAATGATAAAATTAACAAATTAAAAGATAATATTGATGAATTAGAGTAAGTTAATGCTGTATTTGTTCCCTATAATATTTCTAAATTATTTCCTTTAGAAAAAAATCAAGTAATAGAGTATTAAAAGAAGTATTTGCTTATTTATTAATACCATGTATTGAGCAAATCAAAAATGGATTCGATCAAATGAATAAAGAAAAAAAAGGAATATCTCAACAATATTATGAATTTCGAAAATATTACAACACATGTACATTAAAAATGATTAAATATAAAAATAAAATAATTAGTAATGAACCATTAACATTAATTAGTGAAGTTATTCAAAAATTTTCCAATGAAGCTAAATTATCAACAGATGAACTTATTGAACTTCTACTAGAAGAAAACAAAAGAAATTACAACGCACATGGCTTTATTGAAGATTATATAGATGATTTTATTTATGGTGAATGTACAGAAAATGATCTTATTCAATATATTGAAGATAAAAGTGATGTTAATATTATCATTACTAATAATGAAAAAGATCTTCTCATAAAATTAATGCGTTTTAATATTGCACATCGTCAAAAATTAATTCCAATGTAAGTTAAAGAAAAATAATGTTTTTGTTTCTCTATGTTCAATATATATTTCAACATGAATATTTAAATTCTTTTTATTTAGACAATCAACTGTTATTAATTATTTTGATGATTCACAAATATTTAATTATTATATTGATGATAGTCCATTTCGAATGCCTATTATTAAACAATATAAAGTTTGTTTGTTTGTTTTTATTTTTTATGATAAAAAAATAAAATGTTTTATTATTTGTTTTATGTAGGACATGGATACTATTGTTATGGGTAAAATTGAATATGGATCTTGTCATATTGGTGATCAATGTTTAATTATGCCTAATCGAAAACTTGTAAAAATTATGAATATTTATTATGATAATGGTATTGAAACTGATTCTTGTATTTGTGGAAAAAATGTTCGTCTTAAATTAAAAAATGTTGAAGAACAAGTTAGTTTCTTTTTTAATATTATTAATTATAATTTTTGAACAAAAACTTTTAGGATATTTCATCAGGATTTATTTTATGCCATGTTCATCAAGAACCATGTAGTGTTGGAAGAATTTTTGAAGCACAAGTAAACTTTTGTGAAAATAAAAATTGATCAGATATATCTACTTTGTCTTTTTATTAGATTAATATACTTGAACATAAATCAAATATATATCCAGGTTATTCAACTGTACTTCATATTCATACAGCTGTTGCTAAAATTCAATTAAAAAAATTAATAAGATTAATTGATGTTGAAAAAAATAAAACAACTCAAGAAAATCCAACATTTATAACACAAAATCAAGTAGCAATAGCAATATTTGAATTATCACAAGATAAACAAGTTATTTGTATGGAACTATTCAATCGTTTTCCTCGACTTGGACAATTTACATTACAGGACGATGGTCGAACGTTTGCTGTTGGAAAAGTGCTTAAAATTATTAATTGAAAACTTTATTATTATTTATTTGTAATTTCTTTCTTCTTACTTAGTTAATATTAATTCTCATTAAAAAAAAACTAAAACATGTCAAAATAGTACTTCTATTATGTATATTATTTTAATAAAAAACTAAAATAAACATAAAAAAGATTTTCTTCTGATTTTTTTTTTAGTCTTAAATCTTATTTTATTTTGGTTTTTATGAAAAACAAAATGAGAAGAGACATAAATTAATTTGAAGTATTTGTAGAATATTTTTTTTCTTTTCAATGTTATTCTCGCATTTAATATTGAATCGAAAAACTTTTTATTTGATATTTCGATTGAAATGAATATTCTATTTGAAAAAAAAAAAAACAGAACATTTTCTTTGAATGACGATCAAAAAACAAAAAACAAAAAAATCTTCTTGATAAATGTAAACGAATATTGAAAATAAGAATTATAAGAAAATAATTAAATAAATAACAAATAAAAAATATCATCAAAATTAAATAGATCTTTAATTACGGCTTGAATCACATATATTATTAACATTATTGTTTTTCTTTACAATATTTAAGACTCATATCATCAGTTTAGCAGTCTTTTCGAATGTCTATCGTACTTTCAAAAAACTCTACAAATCTTGTAAAACATGAGAATTAGAATAAAAAGACATCAATTTCATTTAATGATGAAATATAGTCTTCAATAGTTGTGTTCTGAATGTTAAGTTTTATGCAAGAAAGAAAAAGCTGATTTTATCAGTCGGAATCACTTGGAATCATTCAGAATGATTAGAATCACACAGAATCACATGGAATAAAGCGAAAAAAAAAACAAAGGTGGCCTGTGCTGTTTAATGTGCTTGATTGAACATATTTCGTCTGTTAGAAGTACTCATTCAGATTTAAGCAGTTTCTGATAAAATAATTAAATCAATTCGATCATTTTACAAAGACGAAGCAGATTTTCACACAGTTCGTAACAGATCAATCGAGTTTATTTCATAATCCTGAAATATATAAACAAGCTTTTAGGGAGTTTTTAGCTAAGTGAACTAAGAATGATTCTTAGAATTTCTAAAATCAATCGCAGTCAATATAATTTGTCAACTCTGAACTATCCAATGAAAAATATTCATTAAATAAAACGGCAAAGAATTTGTCCCAACAAAGTAAATGCCTTTTTTGTGTACTTAAAAAGTGAGTACACACTAGAATAGGTCAGTGTGTACGGCCGTTTACACGATAACTTTTAAAAAGGGAGTCCAATCGCAATGAAATTTTCTACACAGTTTCATCTCATCAATATCTCGGTCGAGTTCGAAGATGAGAATAATTCGTCGAACCATTGATGAATTATCGCAAAAAGAGTCATTATTTCCTATGATTTTCTATGCGAACATTGACCTATGCTGATTTTTGATAAAAAAACTTTTCTCTTATAATCAAACAAAACTCCAACTATTATATACCATTCGATAGAGAATTCCACAGGCTACAAAATGGTATATAAAACATTAAAAAACAAGAGGGTTAAGTCGTCTATTGCAAAGATACTTAAACAGAAATCGGTTCTGTTTTTGTCCATGTTCTAATTGATCGAAAAGTAAAGCTCCATCTTTCAATCACAGAAATCAAGTTTTAAGAAAAACGACTTTCTCAGGGTAATTCAAGGCGAAGAGTTTAAATCTGAGCTATATTTGCTTCAAAACCCTATTCGTTGAGCAGTAACCAATATAAATCAAGTTTTAATAGAAGGGGCTCGCTAGGATAATTTTTATGTCAAAATGTGCTAGGATGATTCATCTGTCTAGTTCACTTTTTGAAGTACACATAACACTCGAATTTAAATCCGAGATTTTCACATTTATTTGTTTTTTTAAGAAAAAAACCACGTTCCAATAAAAGTGGAATGTGTTCCGAAATGAAAAGTCGAAGAAGGCATTCCACTTTGACTACAACGTTGTTTTTTTTTTTTAAAAGTGATTTTATTTTTCTGGAACGCGTTCCACGTCGTTTCAATCTAGAAACGTAAAGAACACATTCTTCGGCTTCTGAACCGCTTTCTTTTCTAATAAAAAGTCTTGTACACATTTGAAATGCTTTCTTCGCTATTTACCTAAATCAACTTTTCTTATAAGAATCCTATGGATGTCTGAAGAGATTGTTAAAAGCTTCGGAAAATCGGCAAAAAGTGAAGGAAAAAACGAGAGATCAAGGAGACTCCCCAGAGAGCGAAAACAAACCGAACCGAATTCGAGCTAATTTTCTGATAGATTGTTCAACTCAGTCTAACATTAGACAAAAAACGATTGATTGAACTATCATTCATCTGTAAAAAGATGATGCCGTCGACGAAGATAAAACAAACTTCTATTAATTGTTTTATATGCATAATTTAATTTCCGTATCTAGCACTCTTTTTCTTCTCTTCATAGAAGTTGCATGAATTGTGCTTATGATGATGGATCACTTCTATGTGGCATAATTCTTTTCTTCCTTTCTTTCGTAAATCTGTCATTTTTCTAAAGTGTAATGAATAATCGTGGATAGTGGTGTAAGATTAATATCAACATTAAAAAACTGTTGATTCTCATGTATTAATATTAAAAATTTATTTTGATTCACAAATATATGAATTACGGGTAATTCATGCAAATATTAACTCTAATGTGACATTTTCGATCGTTCGAGAAATAAGTCTTCATCTATGGTGTACTTATGATCAGGTGAAACTAATACTACTTGAATCGAACCGAATCCGAACTGATTTTTTAAAGACGAGTCAAACCGAACCGAACTCAAACCACTTTTTCAAAAATAAACTCGAACCGAACTGAACCCAAATTGATTGTCGAAAAATGGATCCAAACCGAACTGAACTCGATTTAGAAAAATTCGGTTCGATTCGCTCTCTGAAACTCCCTAGGACTTTACTCAGACGAGTTCTCTGAATTCTCAGGGAATTTCCATGGTTTTCTTGTTTTTTTTTTCTTGACTTTGTGCGGATCTCTCGGAAATTTTGACAATCTATCGAGATATCCTTGGAATTCTGATAGGAAAAATTGATCTAGGTATTTAAAGTGATGAATAACAGGTTCTACTCTTTTGAGAGAGGACTTAAGAAGAAATTTATGAGATTTCTATATTCTTAAACAAAATCTAAACAAAGATATACGCATGTGCCACTTAACCTATCTATAAAATCCATATACCCTTCCTAAGAAGCATATATTTATCTAGAACAAAGTTAATAGAGAAAAATTTTCAAAATACACTCACTCGAAAAACACTGGACGCTATCTATAATTAAGTGCCATCGAAACAAATGACGATTTCTATTATGAAACGATAAAACTAAACAAACACTAACTTCAACTATCTTAAATGCAACAGATAACTTTCTACTGTGATAGAATAACACTAACGGAGTACTAACTCGAGCTGTATTAGATGAAAAACAAAAACAAAAAAAGACTCTTTCTGTTTAGATGACATAGAATTATTCTAACTGTCATTCTACCGTAGTATACTGATAGTTGCTCTCTGACTTAGTATTGATAAGAAAAAGTGAAGCCAATGTTTCGATAACTAATCTTTCTGACATATTCGAACGAGACTCTGACGAGGAAATCACACAAACTGATATTCGCTGTTTGAGCTCATATTTTATCCATGAGGATATCTCGGTAAAACTAGAAAGAGTCTAAAAGAGTTCGTCCTCATAGGCCTTGAGATTCGAGTTAGGATCATTTTATTGAATGTTCGGCCCAGCTTTAGCTATATAACTTTGAGAATATTCTAAGGACCATTTGATCCATATCTAGGGAAAATTTCACGACGAAATTCTACTTTTTGATTTTTCGATATATTCCTAAAGTTGAGTTGAAAATTTCGTAAAAGAATTCTAACTCGGCTCTAAAAACCCCATGAGAACGAACTTTTTTTTACACTGTTGCTAGTCTCACCAAAATGTGCTCGTAGGCTCGATATAAGCTCAAATGGCGGGTATCAGCTTGGGTAGTTCCCTAGTGAGAATAAACGAATGTAAGGCTCGAGATATGCAAGCTACAATTAAATAACGGGAAGAAAAACTTGAAATCAAAGAGCAAATGATTCAATATATTCATGACAAATTGTAAACTACGGAGTCGAAATTTTATGACTATCGAGACAAAATCAATGGTCTTTTAAAAAATATTTTACAACTATTTGTAATCTTTTATGATTCGGTTGATATATCTATTTCGGACGATAATTGCTTCTTGTTTATCATCATAATACAAAAGTTGAATAATGAATCGAAATCAAATAAACACTATTATCATGTCTTCTCGAGGATCTTCAGCACTTAGCCGAATGCTTTCTTAAATCTTCTTATGTTGGACGTGTCGTCACTTTAGGATCATTTCGATCAGAGGGTATAATAAAACAATATAATAAAAAAAAAAAAATAAGTACTCCTACTGTGCCAATAGAGAAAACAATCTTTAATCCTGAAACTCTCATCATAAAAATTGAAATTCTAAATTTTCTAGGCTTGAGCAATGATCATTACAAAGTACCATCGTCTTTACATGGACAAAAAAATGTTGTTTCCACTCCTTCAATACCAAAACCTTCATCATTATCTTCTGCTACAGATTTTACTCGTAATATTATTCCTGGTTCTCCATATTCATCAATAGAACAACAACAAACAACGAATATAAATAATCCAAATGGTTATTCCACAATTCTATTAAATGATTTTACACAACCATTATCAATTCCAACTCGATTACAATCTTTAAATTTAATCAATGAAGCATTTAGACATTTTAGTACTATTGAAGCAACATTAGCAGCACAACGTAAACAATCTCAAATGACATCATCATCTATAAATTCATATCGTTCACGACTTAATTCAACAACAAATAATCCTACAACTAAACAACAACAACAACAATAAAACAATGAATCAACTATGACTCAAGCACAATCTTAAATGATTATTTCAGATATATTTATATAAATATACTGATAGAGTTTATTCTGTGTTTTGTTTTTCTTTTTTTTGTTCAATTTCTCTCATTTTTATATATACATATAGCTATTTTATTGCTTTTCTTCATTCATTGTCATTGATAATGAACAACATGGATAATTATTCTTTTTCTTTTTCTTCCTATTTCAGATTTTAGACAATATATATATAATCTATTGATCATGTTCGGAAATAGGAAGTCATCAACAATGATATCAACCAATAAGAAACGTGAAGAAACATCAAGTAAAACATATACAGTTGAACGTTTGCTTAAACAACGTAAACGAAAAATAAATATAAAAAAACAAAACTTTCTTGAGAATAATGAATTCTTGTTTTTTTTTCTTTTTTTCGCTAAGGTCGTATTGAATATTTAGTAAAATAGAAACATTATGATAAAAAGTCATAATTCATGGGAATCCAAAGGAAAACATTCTTGATAAATCTCTGATTGATAGTTATAAAAAACAAATAAGATCTATATCTCCACGTACTTCGTCACCAAAAAAACCTATACGAAATCAAAATAATGATTTATCATCTGTGAAAAATGATTCTATTCATGATTGTGATGAACAAATAGAAAAAGACGATGATAATAATAAACAAGAAAAAACTTTAAATTTAATTTCAATTGATTATTAGTATTCACCATCAATATGTGAACAAAAAGCAAAAATTGCAATAACTGATATTACATCTGATAATGTTACAATTATATTTCGTGAATTAATTTAAAAAAAGTGTGCTCGATTTGTTTTATTTGTTTTTATAGAAATTTAAAATAATGTCAGATAAATGCATGTTTTTTATTGTAAATTTTGAATAATATCAAATTGTTATTATTTGTAAATATATAAATATTATCCGAATGTATATGCAGATTTTTAATATTGTTAATAAATTTGATATAAATCGAAGTTATTCATGGTAATCGATGATTAATAAGCAGCAATGATGAAAATTGAATGTATTACAGAAATGATAATAGGTTTTAAAATGAATTTTGCTGAATGAATTTTAATTTCTTTTCATTTTATACGTTCATATCGAAAGAAAGAATAAAACTTGTCAGTGCGGCTCCAAGAGGGAGCCGAAATGTGGAACTCACAAACTCTGAGTCTTATAAATTTAATACATATGATCAGAAGTTTTAAAATAAGCTATTAAAAAAATATCAAATAGATGAATAAATCAGAATTATAATAGATTTGATACACAAAAAAGCTGTCTTAGTATCGATTTGAAGCACACAGTGCCAAAAATCCATGAAAAAACCGCATAGAGGCAACCTTGTTCACCTTCTTTCTCCAATATACGATTTGCACCAAAAGTTATGTTGCTACAGTCAGTGAGAATCAGTCGCGGCTGCAATCTGTCATACATGCAAGATGTAGCAGAAGCGGTCCTGGTATGGCAATAGGGTGCAGAGCGTTGGATATTCATGAAAAAGTTCCTTACGAATGGGTATGAGTGTCGAATTAATGTTGCCCTAGTGAAGAATACGACCTGCTCACTGATCCACTGCCATCCAGACAGCGGAACCACGTATTGTTGTTCCTAGTCATCGTCTCATATCCCTCCATTCACCAGCAGGATCACGATCTAAAGAAATGTTATCTAGAAAGTG